CAAAACGCTTGCTACTGTATTGCTAATGCACCAGTCAATGTAAATCCCCGCTCCCCCCAACACGGGAAATGCGGGGAATTGGATTTTAAGCGTTGCAAAAACAAGCGGTTGTTCCCGACCCCGGGGCACAAAATGAAGTCCATTGTCCCCGCATCTTCCTGGTTTCCTTGCTTCTCTTTCCAATGACCAACACAGCAAATAATAAAAGAACATGTTTCAATTGCGTGGTTTTTTGCGTAAGATTTCATTTCGGTCGGGTCCCGTCCATTTGAATGTATGGCTGCATGCCCAGAACGTATGCACAGAACGGACTTGACTGCCTCTTTTAAATAATAGACAATAAATATTTAATAAAAAATCAAGGCGATCATACGACAAATTCTTGCTTCACAATGATGCTATTAAAGCAATAAAAAAATTGGGTAAGCCAAAGGTGTCAACACACAACTACAAATGCAAATTTTTATTATGAAATATTCATGTAATTTATGCATATTGTATACACGTACCTCTAGATATCAAGCTTTGCAATGTTTCAGCAACCACCGCCTTCTTCAAATTCCTATAAAATACTTTGCACAGCATTGCGATGCTAATATGCTATGGATTCTCAAAAGGTCTCAAAAGCACATTCAAATACAACCAAAGCCATCTTGTTGAGTCTGTTCAGTGTTGACGCACAAGCAGCCGGATGCAGCGACGAAACCGGAAATAGAATTGTTCCCAGGGTATAAATCTCGAACAGCCATTTCCCCGCTATAGTCCCCGACCTTGCATGCGAGGAAGCAATAGCGATCCCATTCCCCGTATTGCGGCGAATGAAAAACGAGTAATATCTGGCGTTTGTCCCCGCATTTCCCCGCTCTTTCCCGGGTGGGGGGAGGCGGGGATTTACATTGACTGGTGCATAAGCAAATTTGTGGTATGGCGCGGGCGTTCTCGTCCGCGATCATATCAGACCATGTCAGCGGCATCTAGTAATTGTAGTAAATTACAGCAGCTGGGAAATTTGTTGCGCATGCGCCAGATTTCAATTGAAACTTGAAGATTTCCCCGAAGAAATAACGAGATGTTCGTGCATGGTTGTTGTATATTTTTGAATGCCTGTTTAATCTTTATAATTTTTTTGCTCGAGACAAAGACAAAGACAAAGTAAAATGTACTCTTCGTTTCCAGTGTATAGAATATCTCGTTTGTGTTTGAACAGCAATAGAATATTATAAACTTGACACAAACAAGAAGACATTTGACACGCTAAATCTGGCATCTGGTGCACGATAAATTTTATTTAAAACGGCACTAAAATATTGTGACGCGTCACACACCGTCACACCGTCACAACACTAGTAAGCAAAAGTGAAGCCGGAAGTCACCGCCAATATGGGGCCCCATGCACTTTCGTATAGATTTGTATTACAGATGGTAGTTATTCACGTTTTTTGCCTTGACTACGTTTCTGACCGGGCCAGTTTTACAATCACAAAGATAGAAGCATACAAGAAGAAATTTGAGTATTATGGCTTTATAACGCCGCGAAACGGGATTTACAACTTTGAAGGAGTGGAGCAGGAGCCTCAGATGCTCGTTTCGCAGTGCTATATACTTCCATACAAAATCAACTCAAAACATACAGGAATTACTGTTACTAGACGAATATTCTCAGGAAATTTGAAGAAATGAAGCAGCTACATTGTGAACGAAAGCGTACTGAGGTTAGTTTTAAAATACTTTTATAATTTACCTTGCAAACCTTGAGCATTTGTGCTGTTTTTATACTACATAAAGCAGGATGTGGTTTCCAGTGACAGTTATTTTATGGCAATGATATTCCAGTGTGCCAGTAAAACAATTGTCGTTTGTTTCTCTTTTAGTATGAAATCAAAAAGGTGGTTGCAGGTATTCAGATCCTGGAGTGCTGTAAAATGGCCCTGACCTTGGGCAGTTAAGTATTAATATATGAGACGTGGTGTGATAGGAAATTTTTGATTCATTGTGATTGACTAATAAAATTGGAATGGTGAGAATAATGATGATGATACTGGTGATGCACAAGTTGTAATGATACTGCTGATAATGAAAATATATTGTACATACCAATTGTAATGAGACATAAATAATGAGATTGGCAGTAATGAATGTGTATCACTTGATCAATGTGCTGGTGAGAAGGCAATGTATTGCCACCTAGATGAAGTCCCATGCCATTTTGTGTTCAAAACTAACTGTTCTCATCAGCGCCAAGCATAAAGCATTTTAAGGGACCCTGTGAATGGGGCAATAAGCCCTGTAGGGATCACCAGTCATTTATGACAAAGCTCGTAAATAAATAAAATAAAAATAAATAAGCTGGTTTCTACCCCGCTAACTGATCTTGAAACTATGTGC